ATATTCTGGCATAGCTTCTTATCTCATCAGAGACCACAGTTTCAATACAAGATCATTTATTGAGCAGTTAATGAGAAAATCAAATTCGATGGAGATAGTTTTACTACATACACTAAAGTAGATTTTAGATGACCTGCTTGTGTTAAACGGCAAGAAACAGAGGAGAGAGGTATGAGAAGGGGAATAAACAGAAAACAACTAGACAAAAATTTATTTCCTTAACTGTACAATGAGGAAGCACTTTCAATTACAAAAAAAAAAACTATAGAAGAAATAATAGAAGGAAATATGAGAGGCGACTACTAAAAAAAAACAGTCTGCAGCTCAAAAACTTAAAAAAATAGGATTAAATTAACTAAGAGAACTAGGAAAATATTAACAATATATTTAATCAATAAAGAATGTCTTTAATACCAAAAGAACTCCTGAAAAATTAATCTCTACTAGCTTCAGTTTCCTCATCCGTAAAAGGACAGTAAAAACAATACATAGCTGAAGATTTTTGTGAGATTGGATTAGATAGGAATAAACAGTGTTTAATGCAATGTCTGATAATAGAAGAACACATTTTAATTTATATTAGCAACCTAATATGATATTCTAAAACTTTAAAAATAATGTATGATTGTGCAGTAAAGTGTTAGTTCCACAAGTATGGGTGGTCACAAACCTGCACATTCTAAAGAAAGGTCTGGCCTTTGCCTGGCTCTTGGGAGGTACCTTTAAGGCCTTGAAATAACCTGTCTGATAAAAGTACCTTTGTTCACTTGGGGGTCCTGGGACACGTCCAATAGTTAATAAAAACAATGTGATTTGTGGTGGGGTAATTGGGACAGCCTGACTTCTGGAGGGGCTGGAGACTAAAGGTCTGCCTTGTGGGTGATCAACCATGCCTCCACAACCAATTTCCACTAAAAACCCTGGATACCAAGGCTCAGGTGAGGTTCTCTGGATGGCAATGTTATGTGCATATTCTCACACACTGCTGTTTAGAGAATTAAGCACTGTCTTCTCAACTTTACTGGAAGAGGACAAATGGAAGCTTGTGCCTGGTGTCTCCTGGACCTGCCCTATGTGCCTTTTTCCTTTGCGGATTTTAATCTATATTCTTTCACTGTAATAAACTATCATAATGAGTAAAACAGCTTTGTGGAGCTTAATGGGTCCTTAAAGTAGATCATTTGAACCTGACAATGGCTGGGGATTCTTTCCCCACACACAGTCATCTAACCACAATTAACAGATGAATAATAAATTACAGCTTGAAATCAAAGTAAAATCTCTCACTTTAAGAAGTTTCTGTTCATAAAGATCATATAAAATACATAAAATATAGCAAGTAATGTGTCCATATATATTCAATGAACTCTGCCAAAGTTATGAACAATTTCCTAAGGTGTTTTTATTTATAAAAATAAAAATTTTAGGCTTCATTACAGTAAATTAAAGTCCTATTTGCATTTCATGAGCGTAAAATATTCAATACCAATAAAAACATTCTATCATTGGGACTTTGGGCTACAAAAAAAATAATAATCCCTCGCTAGACCTACTGTTTAGAAAGGAAAATAATTTTGGAAAAGGAATCATAAAACATCATTATAAATCAGTTATATCCTCTTTCTTGCTATGGATTCTAAATTACACTTTTGTGTATAGTTATATATGAGTTTTAATTGGTAATTACTCAAAGGAAAAATTAATATATTTTTGCAGACATTATTTAAGATTCCTTTGCAATAGTAAAAGAAGGATTTTTTTGTTCACTTCAAATACTCAAATTCTCACCCCTCCCAGAGTCAGTTTTATTACTTGGTGAAGCACATTGACTTTTCCAGCTATTTATAGAGTTGCTCTGGGAATTTCTAGAAATCGAATTCAAGGCAACGAACATACACTTATCTCACTTATCTCAGATCAGTTTAGAAACATTTTATGTGTGATTATAAACCAATTCTTGAACTGACAAGTTTAAATGGAATCATTCTGCCATTCTTAAATTGTGGGTTGAAGAATTATGTGATCCACTGTCTGCCTACAGGAAATATATTGGAAGAAATCATGACCCTCAAAAAGAAAAAAAAAAATCCAAAAAGAAAAAAAAGGAGAATGAACAGTTTCACTTAAGCAGATGAATCTTAATCATACCTCTAAAAGCTCTATTGGAGTGTGTGTGTACACAGGATCCATACGTATAATTATCTAACATCTATGAAAACTCTCCCTACTGGGGAGGCTATGTGTATATGAACACTGTTTTTTATTTTCTCTTCCTGTACTTCTGTTTCACTGTGCTTTACATCTTCCACTGGCTGCTGCTGATGTAATTTATATAGATGAACTCCTTGTTGTCTGTTTTTTCTTTATAAAGACATCATTATTCTCGCTGCTATTGTCTCCCACTCTCTAACATCAAGAAAATATTAGCCTCTACTTTTGAGACAAATACTGCTTACTGGTAAGGAGAATTTTTAGTAACTAAGTAGTTCAACATATATCACACACCCTGGTATTAATCCATCAAGCATTACACATACCTTTGGCACAACTCTACTGATTTGGGTACAGCTCTATAAAAGTCAAATAAAATAATATTTTACTACCATTTTAGCCATTCCAACCTGAGTTCCTGGTCATAAACCAATGTTTCTACTACATAAAGCTGAAGTGGCCTTTCCTTAAATTATATCATTTACTGCTTTGTTTGAGTAGTTGTAAGTTCTCGACCAAGCCTTTGCACGTTAATAAAGCATACTGTATTGTGGTTGGTTCCTTTATTAGTGTTTTTCCTACATCTTACAATATAATGGAGACTGAAGAAATAACTTATATATATCTGCTTTTAAAATGTAAAAATTTTTTTTCAAAGTGAATCCTCTACATTTCAGGGTACTTGACACAATTATTTATTGTCTGTCTCATTAACATGTATTCAGATAATCTGTATACCAAACTGTTAAGGCATGGCTAAGGTGAACATTTTAATTATTCAGAAAATTGCATTTAAATTGATAAGAATTGTATTTATGATCAATTTGCACTTACTGTCTTAAGATGTTTTAATAGTAACTTTTTCTTGCCTCTAAACATTATTCTCAGCCTCTGTCATTCAAATAATGCATGTGGTTTTTCCTATTATGATTAACCTGAAATATCTTTAAATTATGAAAACTGTATTAGAATTAAGACTCTAAATCCTATTGTTGTGGTGCGAAACATTGAATGAGATTATTGCATTGCATTCTCTCCCTAAAGGATGATGATTTTAAATTGTACATCTTTTTTTAATTTCTTTTTTGAATAACAAATTCTTTGTATTCTAGAGCATTTTAATGACTATCAAAAGCTTGCAGAGGATAAAACAAAAATGTGTGTATACATTTAAAAACATCAAAAAGCAATCACTGTTGATAATGTCCTTTCTCTTGAATTAGGTTATGAGTATAGGGGTATATTCAATTTTTGGCAATTCACAGGGCTGGATAATTATGATTTGGTCATTTTCCTATACTTCAGCTTACTTGAATAAAAAATTTTTTCCCAACAAACAGTTACATCTTATATAAATTTTTGTTTAAGCATTCTGACACCCATCAAATTCTACTGCCAACTCAAGTTTACTCAACGGTCTCCAGGGTTCAGGAATATAATGAAAAGGAAATGAGCCAGGTGAACGAGACAAGAGTACTGCCACCTGTGATGAGCTGAGAAGGCGGGCCCCATTTAAGGGGTGCAGTCGCTGCTTGCTCAAGGAATGGCTGCCGTATGGGACTGTGTGCCAAATGCTGCCAGGGCTGGAAATTTGAATTTTTATGTCAAATTTATACTTTTCAATGTTGGCAACTGATTCAACTTTTTAAACGCTGCCAGCCAGACTAAATAAGTCCTTGACCAAAGAGGCCTCCATAAAGATCACTTCCCTGAGGAGGACCCCAGTAAATCTGAGTTCAGTTAAAATACTGTTCATCTGTACTGCTGATACTGCTAGCATGCAGGGAAGCCAACAGTCCAGATGAAGTCTGAGTCCCTAGCCCATGCCATTTCTGCTATAGCACAATTCCTGTAAACATGTGCCTGTTTCTTACGTAACTTGAATACCAAACCAACCTCATAACAAAAGTATTAACCCCATTTTATGGATGAGGGATCCAAGGTCCAAAGATAGCAGGCAACTTGGTGCAGAATTTGAGAACAGTATGACCTGAGTTACATGACTTGAGTTCAAATCCTTCCTCCAACACAGCATTCTTATAGCTTTGGGAGGGTAAGTTAACCTCTCTATACTTCAGTTTTTTCCTTTTAAGATGGGTACTCTCATGGTACTACCTCACAAGAATGCTGTGGGGTATACAAAGCAGCTAGAAATAGGCACATAGTAAGTGCTGTGTAAGTGCTGTGACTACTAACTATTATTGTTTATTATCATTATTTGTAAAATGAAATCCTTGCTTTGTGTGTGTTTCAAGTGAACTAATCTACGTAAAGCGCTTAGAATTATGCCTGAGACACACTTAATGTTCCTTACACATGAGCCGTGTGTCCCATTTAATTCTCTTGGAGATTCATTACTCCTAAACCGGGCAGGATAATTCCTTTACTCTGTGTTGGGTAATGACAGACAGACACTATCACAGGCTGGAAGTGTTTCCACTTCTACACAGTGTTTTCCTCGGATGTCTGAATAACACATAGCTTTGTAGGGCCGTGATCATCACAATGTTTACGTCATTTGGAAATGCATAGTGAAATGAATCATGTGTCAGATGACGACTGTCCTGATGAGGATTTTAATAATGTAATAAGACTCTAGTCAAAGTATCAGGAATCAGGAGGTACCTGAATGAACAACATTCAGAAGACACTCTTCAAGTTTAGATGATTTCCCTAATTTTAAAACACCTGAGCCCAAAGCAAAAAATGGAAAGGTATGCATGTAATTCAGTAACTCAAATTACAAAGTTACATGTTAACATATGAGCATAGCCAGAATTCTCACTTACTTGTGACCCATTTCATGAGCAATTGTGAATGCAAGGTTCAGGCCATTGTCTTCAGCAATAATACATTTTCTCTTCTCACTACACATCCCACTCAGGTAAGCTATACCTAGAAAGCACAAACATTAAGTATCAAATGGCAGAATTAAAATGCAAATATTTATGCTTGGTATTAGTAGAATGAAAGAAAAATGATAGTTTTTCCACTCAAATATGCCAATATTAAACTGTGATACTTAGCACCTATAAACAGAATTTCAGGGGAAAAGGCCTATATGGGTCATTCAATAAACTATTAATATTCTTTTCAGTTTCATATTTTAGATGAAATGATGTTATCAATTATATAATTCTCCAACGGCATACCATGAGAATACATTTTGTAAATGCCACTTTTGATTGTCATGTAAGATAGCCACAGCTTAGAAAATGTAAATAAAAAAGTAATGATTATTTAAATATTTTTTAATTCTTGTGAAGAACCTAGTTGCAAAGAAATACCCTAAAATAAACTACATTTAGAACATTCTTGAACTCACATTTGTATTTTGACTTAAAAATTTTGAAATTTTATTTCATGAAATACCATTTAAACTAATGTAACAAAAACTATCTGCGGTACTTGGAAAACTGAGAATGTTTCCCTTTCTTAGTTAATAAGATGATCTAACTGCAGAGTACATGATACTGAAATATTATTTAAGATAAAAATTTCAGCAAGACAATTAATCTTTTGGTTTATTAGTAAAGATGACAATATCTGAAATCACTAATACTTTTTTTAGTCAAAGATTCACATACTATTTTACTAATTAAGATATATCCCTAAATAAATATCATTTAACATAAGAAACTATTATCTTCCAAGAGTAAGTTATAACGTATTTTTAAATTACAGAAGTTATTTATCATAAAAAATATTGAGCATTTGTTGAATTAATTCTCAGATTCTTATAAAACACATGTAAACACATTTTATGAAAAAATTAAAGCCTAGGCAGGTGAAATGATTTGCCAAAGATCATATGACTACCAAAATGATAGAGTGGGGACTGAAATCCAACTGTGAATCCACCTGCCAGCTAATTTTATTCTGCTTCTGATCACAATTCAGAGGAGAGCTGCCCCTAGGTAAATATGGTTAGCTGAATGCTTATAACTTCCCCCTCTTCAGAAACTTAAAGAATACTGGTAAGAAATAATTAAATTTAAATAAAATAATAAATCACCTTGCCCAGGTTTTAGAAAGATAGAAGATTCACGAAGGAACGTGAATTTATTTAGTGGAGCCATAGCTCAAAAGATAGGAGAGAAGGATTTCATGAGCACGGTAGAGGCCCAAGAGGCTCAGGACTGAGGCACACAAGGTTTGAGGACAGGCAATGCTGGCGGGCTGAAAATGGAGATCCGTGGAAAGCATGTCTGAAATCCTCACTCATTCAAACCTTCGTGAAAAATGTCAATGCCCGACATCCACTGCCCCATCAAGAAAAGAAAGACGTACTTATTAAGCAAGATGTAATATGTTATTAAAAAATAAAACTAGAGAAAGAAACAGCTAAGAGAAGAAATATAGATACATGTTATTAACTCCACGTATTTAGAAATTAAAATAGATCTTACAGAAATTTCAAATTCACAGACAGATGAATGACTTCTTTATTAATGGATGGCTGGACAGATGAATTGATGAACAGATTCCTACTTCATTTGGCTTATTAAGGCAACTGAAATTATTCCAGGGTTAAATCAAGATAAAGTAAGAAGGAAAGATGAAGGTGGCAAAACACAGAATGAAGTGGAAGAGGAGAAAAACATATTCTTTATCTAGTTCCATTAAACAACACATGAAATAACAACTTTTCAATTCTTAAATGCAATGTGAATTTTAAGAGCACACTAAAGTCATACACTAATTAATACAACAGAAAATGGAAAACCAAGATTTAGAAGTAACTGAATTTGTGTTAAAATTGAAGGGAAGAAGGAAGAAAGGATAAAGGGAAGGATAGAGGGTGAAATAAAGT